TCGTTTTTCCAGCGCGCGTTGCATAAATTTTTGGGTGGTTCAGAGCTGTATTAGCGAATTCACCTCAGGCAGGCAACCGGCGCGAATCGCGGTCCGAGCCTGTTTTCGAGTTTCCTGGCATCTTTTATGTCGATATATAAGGATTCCCACCCAAACTCGCAGCTCGCAGCTCGCCTTTCCCTCCTCATCCCCCTCTTTCCTTGTCTGTGTTACGGAAACGCACTTAGACAGTAGCGCGCCCTACCCTCGCCGGATACGCTGATAGCACGTTGGGATCGCAACGCTCTCGGCGGAGGCGTCGCAGTTTTTGTTGCAGACGGTTTTTCTGATATTGCACTTTTTGCCAAAATGTTTGGGGTTGTTGAGAACGTTTGGATTGCAGTTCGTTGTCACGCAGGTCCCGCGCTTCTGGGTTGCTGGTGCCATCCGCCGCATTACAGCAAAACGGAACCCCTCGAAAGTTTAGGTCCCGAATGGTTTTCTCTGAGGAGCAGCACGTCTGCCTTTTGATTCTTGGGGACATCCACCGCACAGGGTAATTGCGACATTCGTAGTCGTCCCACATTTCAGCTGGAGGTACCGCCCTCCGCGATTGGTCTGCGGCGAGAGGTCAACCAGAGGCCCGCATCTCCTAGACCTTGTGCTGTGCGATTGTCCAGAACTACTCGCAGTGGAAGTTTTAAGCCAACTCTCAGATCATTGTCCAATCTCTTCTCGCGTCTCCCTCCTCCTCTCTTCCTCGAGGTGTCGCGCCGTATTTTTTGGCATTATTCTCGGGCGCAGTGGTGTGATTTAAGCCGGCTTTTTGGAAGCCAGGATTGGAGTTGGATCGACAGCACGTCTCCGAGTGAAGCTGCTGTTCGCATAAGCAGGATAATTTCGGAAGGAATGACGCGGTTCATTCCCGGCAGCACCGTTTCTTTTAAAAGCTCCCACCCTTGGTTCGATGCAGGGTGTGTTGGCCTTGTTCGGAAAAAGTGCGAAGCTGCCGGTACTGACGTTTTTTTTGCAGCAAGCATTGCGTGCAGCCAGGGCCTTTACGCGCTAGGCCGCGTGCGTACTCGCCTGCGTTCTCTTAAGCGCGGAAGCAAGCAGCGGTGGCGCCTCTCAGACCAATTAATGCACCGGACGGCCGCACCCAGCTGTTCAGCGCTGAAGCGATCGAACGGCTCGTGGGCTATCCGGAGAGATGAAAAAACGGAACTGTTTGCCGATTGTTTTACGGCTAAATTGAGGCCCAGCAGCTGTCGAGAATGAATTGGCTTCCTGCTCTTGCGATTGCAAGCCACCTGGCATTGCGATGAGACATTGCTTTGCCGAGGAAGCGTACGGGGCAAGGCGCATGGCGCGAAGCGCCAATGCAGTTTTTTTGTGTGTGTGTGTATATATATATATAGTATCGTTTATATACACAATACGTATTTCTTTTCGTTGCAACGGTGCTATCCGTAGGGGGGGGGGGCGGACCCCTCCCCAAAACGACCCCCTCCGGATCCGTGATCCTGGGGGCCCTTTGGACATCCCGGCAACAAGTTGTCCGGTCTTCAGGGCGCCTGGGCGCCCGTGCTGGGCCTAGCCAGCGGGTCGAAATTGGTCAGGAGGGCGGCCGGACGGCCTGGCGGCAACCCAGAGCGGCCCCAGACATTCACCATACGTTTGAAGATGACCCAAAGAAGACCACCAAGAGGCCGTGAAAACGTAAACATCGATTTAATGCTGTTGGCGTGATGCTGGGGCTATTCGGTTCTTCGGTCTTCTGGTCGCCCGAGACCGCCCAAGAGGCTTGACAATCGTTCCGAAACGATCCAAAAAGGGCTTCCAGACAGACCGCAAAAACCCCACGACGGCCCAACAGAGCCCCAACACGGCCCGAATAGAGCCCCATGACGGTCGAAATGGCCCCACAACGCCACCCGAAGATCCACAAATCGTGATTTTGTCGTTCAGGGAAACCGCGGTAGGAAGCAGGGTGGTTCGAGGAAACCTCCAGAAGACACCACGAGGCGCCCAAGAGGCCTCCAGTATATTCGAAGAGGCCATTTTAGATATTCGTGAGGCTCCCAGGAACTCGAAGGAGGGGCCTCCGCAAAAAGAGCTGGGGAACATTTGGAAGGATTCGTCGGGTAGGGGGATAATCAGGGTAAAAACGAGGAAACATGATGAAAGGAGAAGGAAACATGCTGATGAGGGAGAAAACCGAGGAAATCATTATTTTGACGAGGACGCCGTAACAAAAACGACCGTGAGAGCTTGCTATATTTATGATGTTTCTTCTCATTCTGCGTGCAAGCCCTTCTGAAGTGTCAAGGTGCATGGCGCGAGGCACCACTGCAATCTTGTGTGTATATATACACATGTTTGTATGTATGTATATGTATGTATATATATATATACGTACGCATATGTATTGTTATGTGTATGTATGTATGTGTATGTGTATACGCATGCATATATATATATATATATATATATATATATCATATATATACATACATACAACATATCATATCATTATATATGTATGTACACACATGTGTGTTCATGTATGTGTATATGTATATTCATTGTTTGTTGTAAATGTAGATGTAAATGTATGTGGATATGTAAATGTACCTCCCCCGCCCCCCAAAACAGGACCGCCCAGATCCGCCCGTGGCCCTGGGGACCCCAGTACATCCTCGCAGAAGGTTCTCCGAACTTTCCGGGTCTCTTGTTGGGCGCCCGTGCTGGGCTTAGCCAACGGACCCCAATTGGTCAGAACGGCGGCCGAATGGCCGGCCGAGAGCCCCGAGCGGGCCCAGGCACCCACCACACCCGAAGACGACCCAAAGAAAACCCTCAAGAGGTTCTGGAAACGCACGCAAACATAGATTCAAATTTCCTTCGGCGTGATATTGGGAATATTCGGTTCTTCGGTCTTTCGGGCGCGAGACCGCCCAAGAAGCTTGGCAATCGTTCCAAAACGATCCAAAAGGGCTTCCAGACAGTCCACAAGAACCCCAAGACGGCCTAACAGAGCCCCGACACGGCCCGAAAAGAGCTCAATGACGGCCCAAGATGGCCCCATGACGCCTCCGGAAGCTCTTCAAGTCATGACCTGGTCGTTCAGGGCGACCGCGGTTGGAAGCCGGGTGGCCCGAGGAAGCCCCTAGACGATCCCAGAAAGCGCTTAGGAGGTTTCCAGAAGGCCATTGCAAATGTTGTTGAACTTCCGCAGAAAGAGCTGCAAGCGTGGTAAAGGGCTCGCAGGGTGTGGGGAGAATCAGAGAGATAAGAAGTGGAAACATGATGGAAGGAGAGGGAACATACCATCATGAAGACGACACCGTCAAGGCAACAGTGAGTTATTGCTATATCTATTTTGCTTCCTCTCGTTCCGCATGCATGTCAACTTTGAAGTTCCAAGGTCAATGGCGCGAAACGCCAAAGCAGTTTGTTTGTTTGTTTGTTTGTATGTATGTATGTATTTATGTATGTATGTATGTTTATGTATATTTATGTATGTATGTGTATAGCCTTTGCTGGATTTTTTTGCACACAAGTGCCTCACCAGTTGTTTTGTCTTTGTGCTTCTACTTTTTGCAAAACCGCACTTTTCGTGTTGCCTTGAAGTTGCTATAGTTTGCATGTTTCTTATGTCTATTCGTGTGTTTTTGTTTGGACGTGCAGCAAATTCAGTTGACCATGGTTTGCGGAGAAATTTATCCATGTGTTGACGAGAACTCTGAACGGAATGCCGTTGAGTGTCATGTTCTTCTTTTTGCATACGCTTTGTTTGTAACATAATTCGTCTGATCAGGGTTGGAGGACCGCTCGCTTGGTCCTGGCGTGCCTGGCCTCGCTCGGTTCGGATGGTTCGTTTTGCACTGCGTCGCCTCGTCTCGAGTCGCCTGATTCGTTGTGAGTTACGGCTCGTAATGTGTGTGTGTGTGTGTGTGTGTGTGGAGCTTAAGTTCTGAGTGGTTTTCGTTCGGTTTGCCTCATTTTGCCTCGCCTTGCTTCGTATCGCCTTGCCTTGCATAGCCTTGGTTGGCCTGGCCTGGCCTTGACTTTCTGCTCCGAATGTTACGTTTTCTCATTTGCATATTGCGGCGCGTTTCAGCCAAGCGTTGTTTTTTTGTTCAATGCGGGAAGTTCCTTTTCACTTGCACCGCGACCGCCCAGTTTTTGAAATAGATCAATGCGACTTGCATAGCCATTGTTTGTAGTGGAGACGTTTTGGGGTTTCACTGGATGTTTGCCGTCATCGCGGGAGGAACCTTTTCGCATGTCAACGGTTCAGGGATTACAGCAGAACGGATCGGTTTTCGTTGTGCAGGCAACTCAAGCCAATCATTCTAGTTGTTTGCGTGGCATGTGTTATATATCCAGGGCCCTCGCATATTCAAGCTTTTCGGCAAAACCCTTAGAGACGGATATCCAGATCCTCTGCCCCCCGTCTGTGTAGTCTTGTCACTTTGGGCTGGTCTTAGACTGTTTCGGAGCCGTCTTGAAGGCCAGCTGAGGAGAGCCTCTGGGGACCCATGGGGGCACAGAGTCAGAGTGTGTGAGGGGTGTGACGAATTTTGATCTCCTCTGATTTATCTGAGAGGCCAGCTCAACGCCACTAGGAGGCCAAAGGTCCCCATTTGCACTGCGCCCTGTTTGCGCGGCAACCTGCCCCTGCATCATATTCGAGGCTGTTGATGTTGACGGTCACGCTTATGATGATGGCGTTGTTGTTGATGATGATGGTGGCGATGATGATGATGATGATGATGATGATGATGATGATGATGATGATGATGATGATGATGATGATGATGATGACGATGTTGACGGTCGTTGAAATTGATGATGGTGATGGTAAGATCGATGATGAGGTTGCAGATGTTAAGTATGTGGGTAATTCGTAGGAGGGAAGAAGGCGGGATGGTGCGAGGAGGGGGGCCGTCATGAGTAAGGGCGATAAGGGATGAGGAACATGTGAATGAGGAGGAGGAGGAAGGAGGATCTCGTTCGTATGACAACCCAGCCCGCGCTCTTTTTTTTTTCGCTGTGCCCCTTCTCACGAGCTATGCCAGCCCGCTTTTCCTTAACTTCCTTGGATGCTTGTTTGACTTTCAGGCAAACGACGAAGACATTGAAGCGGTGAAGAAGTTTGCCAATGCGCAGGCGGGCCGCATTTGTTTTTGCGTCGCTCTTTGTCTGTTCGTCTGTTTGTCTGCCTGCCTGCCTGCCTGTCTGCCTGTCTACCTGCCTGTCTGTCGGTCTAGCTGTCTGCCTGATGGACCACTTGTGTACGTATTCAGCAAATGCCTTCGCGTCATTCGCCGGCGTTGGCCACAGGTATGGGTCTGCACGCGGCTTGCCCCATCGGTCCCTTCAGCTCCGCTGCTGTGTTGACATAGTCGCACTCCCGAGCAGGCGAAAGTGGGGGGTGAAACTTGTGTTTTAGGAAGGCCTGCGCGTGATCGGACGACGATGACACTTGGTACTGCAGGCTCGGGAAGATTTCTCCTAATGCCACACCCAGGCCCCGTCCGCCTCAGCGGACACGTGGTCCAAACGCCCCCCCCATCAGATTCTAAACTGACCTGCGCCTGGACTCCGCCAGGGCTCGTAGACATAGTTTCCCATGTTTTTTGTTGGGGGGCATCCGAGCCCCGGGAAGTTCCAGGAGCCAATTCCTCCGTTCTGGTCCCTCTCGGAGCCCGGCTCAGGAGAGACGAAGGGGGTGGCACGCGGTCGAGGCCCGCTCACGCACCGCCCTCGAGCTCCGACCCACCGAAGCCCTGGCGACCCGGGGCGGGCACAGTCTTCGGAGCCCTGGTGGAGTGGGGCTGCAGCATCTTCTTGTCCTACCACTACGGCCAGCGGGCTGCGCGAGGTGATGTGGCAGCAAGCTCGTAGGCGATTGTTGGTGAGATTGCGCGGCAGTCGCTCTCTGCCAGGCTGCCGCGCGAAGAGCCATGTGGGCTCACGTGCGTGGTCATGCTGTGCGCAGAGTTGCCGCGCAGAAGCATCAATTTCGCAATTGTGGCCACACAGTGGCCATGACCGGCATGATCGTTCGTGGCCATATGTAATCAGCAGTCGTCATCATCGTGCCCGTTCTTCGGTGCAACAGCGAGCCCAACTGAAGAGTTGCGGAGGTCGGTTGGACCATACAGGCCGTTTTAGTTTGCTTTGGGGCAAGTTTCAGGGGGGAGGCCCATGACAACGCTGCATCTTTAAGGCACCAAGTAAAACATCAGCAACATCGAGTATCCGCCTCGAATGATCGCACCCATCCCACTAAGACGTCAGACCCTTCCGTGCGCCGTGGAACTGTTGGGACTTATTTGGAGATGGAGTTCCGAGGTCTCCTGTTTTTCTGAGGGCTGTCATATCATCCGTGGGAGGTTTTAGGAAACACTTTTTCGGGTTGCCAGAGCTCAGGCTTGACGCAGCTTACCAGCTACCATCCTGAAGCCTTCTGGAAGCAGTCTTGGATGAGGAAGGCTAGCTGCGTCAGACCAGTGCTACTTTTGAGCTTGGCTTCGAAGGGCCCCTTGTAAGCTTCTTGTTCGCACGCTGAGGGGCTCTGGCTAACTGAACTCAATGTTGGATTTTGGCCGCCTGGGATGCCAAATTCCAAAGTTGAGCGGAGAAAGCCAGCGACCCCAAGTGGACTGCTTATGTTGCCAGTGTTTCGAGCGGCGATCAACAGTGGATGTTCGAGGGCAGACGAGAATCATCTGTTTCTTCTGCTACCCTGCTTCCTTCTCCTCTCACTGCCAGCCGAGCATGGAAGAGTTGTCGAGCCAGATCAAGAAGATGGAAGAGCTGTGTGGGCCCAGGCTAAGTGGCTCGGGTGGTCTAGGCCTGCACGATCTGATTGTTCGATTGAATTTTCTTCACAAGTTCTATTCTTGTTCGCCTGAATGTGGCTGAAGAGTTCGAGAGGGGATCACGTGGAGAGAAAAGGGGAGAGATGGATGGTTAGCCGTAGGGGCCGCGTGATACGATAACCACCCTGGGTAGGCTGCGCAGCCGAGCTTGTTGTGTTCGTTTATGCTTGCTAATGCATGCGAACCGTCAACTTCGCAGAGTGAGACGAGGTTTCGTCAACGATGAGTCGACGATAACCCCACTGTTTTGGAGATCTACGTGCGAAGGCGTGGCATCATGGAGGGACGAGGTATCATTGGTGAGTCCATGTGGCGTTTGCGCGGTATGTGGTGCTACGACTCATACATTTGTGTGGTTCTATGCTTGTGCGGGGCCGTTTAAGAATCTGGGTTCCGTGTACAAGTAATTGTGCTGTCGTTCGGTGCATGGTGGAAGAGGGGATGTCGCGTCCTGGTTATTACTGAGCTGTTCAACACGCATTGTGGGCCAGGAATGATTGAGCTCAAACACTGCACACGGGCCCATCTGGCAGAGCATTCCAGGCCGAATGATTTATTCACGATTGAAACATGGATATGGGTGGTGATCCCATGCAACGTGCAAACAATCCACCCGCCAGGGCTTCCTGTGGAAATCTGTATTTCTGAGAATGTCGAGAGCCAGTTGCACAAGTTAAGTGTTCGGGCGGGCAGCCAGACTTTGACCCAACAGAAAGAGCATTCACACTTGAGTCCAATGATGCGTCTCACCCTACAATATCGGAGGTCCTAGCAAGGCGCCCCCCTCGACATTCATCATCGGTTCCAGAATGGCAGGAGAAACTCTGCGCGAGAGTGCCAGAAACGGACATCAGGGAGCATCGACCAGATATCCGTGCTGCTCCGTGCGCAACGCCAAGGAGGTCCCGAATTTGCTTGGGTGGTGCCCCCCCCTGGAGTGTCCTGGACGTACCCAGGAGGGTCCTGGAGGGGGCCTGGAGCTTGAGGCGGTCGCGGCGGGGGCTGACGCTGCATGGCACCTGCCGCGCGGAGTGGGGAATGTGGAGGTCGAGTCGGGATCAGCTAAAACAAGAGCTCCCACGAGGGCGCGAAGTTATTCGCGCATCGCGCTTCGCGGTCCTCGTTCCTTCCCCCCCTCCTCCTCGTCCTCCTTTTCTCCCTTAGGGGGGCGGCGCGAGAGCGCGAAGTTATTCGCGCTTGGGGCTTCGCGCAGCGCGAAGCGCGAAGTTGGGAGCCCTTGTCAGGTATGCCCAGGAGGCCCGAGTACTGACCTGACCCATTGTGGCCCTGAGGCGCCAGCGCAACGGCTGATTGGTGAAGTCAGTGCTCGGGCAGCTCCAGCGGCACTCGAGCAGCTCCTTCGGGACCCAGCGCTGATCTGGCTGTTGTCGTGGGACGCGGCCTGGGCGGGGGGGAACCCCCGCACGGTGGTGGATGTGCACTGCGCCAGCGCAGCTCGGCAGTGGCGACTCCACCCGGGATCTTTCACTTCGCTGTCGTCAAGTGCTCTGTGCGCTTCGACTCTTCAGCCCGAGAAGCAGGGATGAGAAGGGAGAGGAGGGGGAGGAGGAGGAGGAGGAGGAGGAGGAGGAGGAGGGGGAGGAAGAGGGGGAGTGGGAGGGGGAGGGGGAGGGGGAGGGAGGAGGAGGAGGAGGAGGAGGAGGGAGAGAGGAGGAGGAGGAGGAGGAGGAGGAGGAGGAGGGGAGGAGGAGGAGGAGGAGGAAGAGGAGGAGGAGGAGGAGGAGGAGGAGGAGGAGGAGAGGAGGAGGAGGAGGGAGGAGGAGGAGGGGGAGGGGGGAGATGGGGGGGCGCTGGCCCCCGGCCGCAGGCGGCGCGGAGCCCGCCGAGGCGGCGCGGGCCCGGGCCCCCGCGCCCGACGATGCCGAGCTCGAGGGCGGTGGCGGCAGGCGGGCGCGGTAGTTCGGCGGGGCTGTGGGCGAGGTGGTAATGTCGTGACGGCAGGTTCGTGTCGTGCCGACGCGGCGGCGACCCCAGCGTGGGAGTTCAAGGCTGAATGCCGCCAGTGGCCCAGAATCGTCCAACGAGGAGCGATTTGGTGGTCGACAAACAGCCGATCTTTCCGGGTTGAACGGTCCACGCGGTGTCTCAAACCAAAACTAGGGTCGTCACGCCACGAACCCTTGCGTCGTGAACAAGAGGCCTGTGAAGCGACGAGTGCGTGCTTACAGAATCGGTGGGATCACATCAGTTCCTGCGGTGCATTCAGGCACAGCCACGTGACCACCGGCGGAGGAGGAAGAGGAGTAGGAGGAGGAGGAGGAGGAGGAGGAGGCGGAAGGCTCGGGATGGTGCAGCGCCAGCCGATCCCTCCACCGCCGACTCCGACACCCAGGACAGGGCCCGCCTCCCCCCCCTCGGGGAACTTCTTGCATGTCTCGCGCGACCACAGCAGGCAGCGTGCCCCCCGGGGCCACTCGCTCGTGGGCTCCGCCCCGTGGCTCCGCGAGCTGGTGCCCGCCCGGCCTGCCGCCAGAGGGCCGCTCGGTGGGCCCTCGGCTGGGCGCCAACGCCAAGCGCCGGGCGGGTGCCGAGGCTCCCTCGATGGCGGGGCCGAGCGCGCGTTCCGTCGTTGGACGTTCCGAGGTTTTCCAGCCTCGGGACGCTCCCCAGCAGCTGCACGTCGCCGAGGGCGTTCCAGGGTTGCCCGCATCGTCCCGAGCGGCCGCCCGAGACCCCCCGAGGCTCTCTCTCATCGATCGATCCTGATCGGGGCGTGCGCAGACAGATGGGTCTAGGGCTCCAGTCGCGATTTCTCATGTTTTTTGCCGGTTAGTAATTTCAAATGCTTGTATGCACGCACACCTGTTTGCAGCAAATCTTGCGACAACATATTCGAGATCATGCGCTGCATAGCGCGGTAATGATGCTACTCGTATCAAATCATCAAAGGTAAAACGAAACGTGCTCCCAGCCAGGCGCGCTCGGACACCCCGGGCGCAATCGTAGAGTCTCCCATCTGGTCGCCGACGCTTGTGGGGGGCCTCTTTTCCTTCAGTTGCGGGTGCCGACATGGCCCGCGGCCGTCCCAGCGCGATGGCCCTGCCTGGAAGTCGGTGCTGTTTGCAGTCCTGTGCAAGAATCCCCCGCAGTGTGCACGCGACGCTCTCTGCTCTGCGGGTGCCCCTCTGCCTCATTCTTCATTTGCATCGGGCCCAAGGCGCTGGCGTGCGCCCCATGCCAGCTTACCGCCTCGGACTGAGCCCGCGGCCATTGGCCAACAATTTTTCCGCAGCCGCTTCAGTTGAACATGATCCTGTGCTAGTATTGTTCGGTCAGTTGCGTGTCGCCCTAAGCTGGCAGATGTTTGATGTTTTGACTACTGCCTCGTCCCTCCTCGTTCCCCTCCGTCGAGCGGGGTAGCAAACATGTCCTGTCTGTGCTGAGCGCAGGAGGTGGGCCCCGAATGTCCACTTGCGCTTGCGCTGAAGCAGGACGTATTTGTCCGCAGCATGCCACCAGAAAAGAGTGAGTGTCTTGTTGCTCCACTCGCGATTCAATGGAATTGTGAGGTCGATGAGGCCGAGGGGGGATGAGGAGACAGATAAGGAGGAGAGTGTGGAGGAAATTGGCAAGATGAAGAGGAGAGGGATGATCAGAAGGAGGCGGTTCCCAGGGTCAGGCATTGCAGAACGAGTGAGCAGGCAGATGCTGGTGTCATTCAGGTGGTATTGGCAGCAGAAGAAGAAGAGCAACGATGTGTACATTCGCATCCCACAGGACCGTTATTGACTGGATAGTGCTTGCGTGTCTTTTCCAACGCAGTACTGGGTTGTAGTGGCCTCTGGCCAGTGCCGCCGACGCGGGGCGCTCCCGATGGTGCTCGAGTTCGCTTGGAGGCCCATGGGGCCGTCTTGGGGCCGTCTTGGGGCCGTCGTAGGAGGAGGCCTCTTGAGGGGATCTTTGAGCTTTTCGGGGGCTTCTTGGAAGCCCTGTTGGCTGTCTTAGGGCGTCCCTGACCCGTCGGAAGCTGTCGGAAGCAGTCTTGTGCGCCTCGCTGCGCCGTCTGGGAGCTCTCTAGGGGCGCTCGAGGGCCGTCTTGGAGGCCATTTTGGTATTCTTGGAGGCCTATGGGGCCGTCTTGGGGCCGTCTCAGGAGCCTCTTGGGCCGTCACGGGACCATCTTGGAGGCCACTAGGGCGATCTTCGGGGCCTCTGGGGCTGTCTTGGGCCGTCGGAAGGCGGACAAGAATGAAGCACCCCAATCCTTCAAGCTCATATAGAATACGAATGATTTGGGCCTCTTCGGGCCTTCCTGGAGGACCCCTTGGAGACCTGGGGCCGTTTTGGAGGCCTCTTGGGGCATTCTCGGGTCGTCTTGAGGGCATCCTGGGCCATCTTGGGTGCATCTTGAGCCTTCTGGGGAATATCTAGCGGCCATCTTGGACTCTCTGGCTTCCGGGGTGGGAATTCGGCGGACTTTTGCATGTCCCAGCGCCGAGAAAACGGAGCACAGGCAGAGCAGGCTGCCCCTCCCCCTGTCCAGGCAGAGCCCCCCTGGCCCTCGCCAGCAGAGCTGAAGCTCAGGCTGCCGGTTGTAGCTTAGGCTCGTTGAAGCTCACACGCCAGATCGGCGGATATTGCTCTCCGTCCTTAGAGCAAGCTGGAGTCACTCTGCGGCTCTCAGTCCCGGAGACCCCATTTTGGGCCTCTCCGGCGGTCTCGAAGTAAGAGCCTGCCCCTGCCTCAGTAGTAGATGCTGCGTTTGTTGAGGACGAGTGTTTTGTGCTCATTGCGGTGTCTGGGAAACTCTTGGACCAGGCCATCGATGTGCTCCTGCGTCAGCTTTTCGATGTCTTTGAAAACCTTCACCTAGAGATAAACTGTAAACCAGGCAAAACTGAAGCCCTATTAAAGTATAGGGGCTATCAGGCTGTGCAGTTGCGTGAGGCTCGCCGTTGTGCCGACGGCAAGCTTCGTCTCCAAGTCCCTGGTCGTCCTGTGATTGCCATTGACGTTGTGCAGAGCTACGTGCATCTAGGCACCCACGCGACTGTCGACAGCTCGTGTTTTCAGAATGCGACCCACAGATGGTCTAGCGCCATGGCCGCTTATGCTCCACTGTCTTGCAAGATCTTCGGGGCAGAGTGCGTGCCTAGGCCTCATAAGATATGCTTCATGACCACGCTTGTGCTGTCTCGCCTGCTGTTTTCTGTTTTTGTCACTGTTCCGAACCCCAAAGCGGTGAAACGACTCAACAGTGTATACATGAGAGTTCTGCGCAGGATCATTGGCGACTCTCGTTTTTCGGAGAATGTAAAGTGGAACGACTTTGAGGTCAGTCAGCAGTTAGGCCAACCGTCCATTGACTGCTTGATTGCACGTGGCCGTCTTTTGCTTTGGGGGAGGCTTGTCAGGAACCGTCCTCGGGTCCTCTTCTCCCTCCTCCACGTGCGGGTGAAAGACAAGCCCCTCCCATGGGTGCAACGCCTCCTGGACGAGGCTGCCCTGTTGCAGAAGCTTGTGCTCCCCGCCACCGCCGCCAATGGCGCCGGGGCAGGTGGCCCATCTAGCTTCCCGTCCCCGACTGAAGACCCCGCGCAGTGGGATCGATTGTTGCAGGATGAGAAATTGTGGAGCCATCTTGTCAGCCAGTTGTCGTTTGTTGAGTCTGTGTGTGACCCCGAGGCTCCCTCGACCACACCCTCCTCAGCTTTGGTATGGAAATGCACAGTGTGTCAGCAGTCGTTTTCCTCCGACCGTGCACTCCGCAGCCATAAGCGAGCTAAGCACGGTGAGCGAGCAGTTATTCGCACATATCTGCCAGATGCCACGTGTCCGTACTGCCAAACAGACTTCCGGCAGCGCCTTCGTCTCCTCGCACACGTCTCCGACGCGCGTCGCCCAAGGTGCCGTGATTGGATTCTGCAGAACTGCTCGCCCCTCCCAGCCTCCGAGGTTGCCCGCCTGGACGCTGCTGACCAGCAGCTCAGGCGCGCCGCCCAGAGAGCGGGAAAGAGCCACTATATAGCTGATGGTGCTGCTCGGGCCTTGACTGGGCGAATAGTCGGTCGAGTCGCGTCGTAACGCGTTTTCTCTTGTGTCTGGCATAACTTGCGGCTCCCATCCTCGGCCAATCAAAAAATCCGTCCTCGGTTTATGCATCTTGCCAATCCAGTATATATTGATCTCCGTCCTCGATATTGCTCTCCGTCCTCGGTGTATCGGTCAGAGGGCGAGGAGTAATCTTGCGCGCGTGCTGATATCGACTGTTTTATGGCTCGAGTCTGTTGGATCTTGCGTTGACTACCAATCTGGCCAGGTGGCTCTCGGTCTACCCTCCTGCGGTTTAGTCTTGTTAGCCGTGCCCGCATTCCTGTTTCCCGCGTAGCTTTTTGCTTTTCCGAGAGCGTTTGGGCCTCAGTCGTCCCCAGGGGAAAATCCCGCACCTACCTCCCGCACCTTGGCGCCGATATTCCACTGAGCTGCACTGCGAGGACCCGCTGCTGTATCCGAGAACGGCCGAATCATCTACTGGCTCGAGGGTGGACTCGATCTTCTTACCTCGCGTCATCTGGTTCTTTTCACGGCCCGCTAGTCCCTCCCAGTTCTACAATGCCCAAGACGTTGTCAGCATCGACGCACGTGAGCGATGCACCAGCTACGTAATGTGGACAAGTTGTTGTCTTCACATCGGCGTCGAATTTGGATGTTGAGGACGTTTCGAGTCAGGCACAGAGAGAGAGAGAGAGAGAGCGAGAGAGAGAGAGAGAGAGAGAAAGAGAGAGAGGGAGAGGTCGTTTCTTGAGAGTCTGTCGGAGCTGTGTGATGGCCATCGATGGCGACGAATCAAGCGAAGGCGAGCCTGCAAAAACATATTTCCACAGGATCTTCCGATCTCAAAGAAGGACGTCTCTGTCATCTTCAAACGATCTTCGTCGGAGACTCAGCCGCGACGAGCTTGTACTTAAACATGCCCTCAGCTATTTAGCCTTCACATCCAGTCTGTCTCAGTCAGAAGTCTTGTGGGCCATTCTTTTGGCCTTCTCTTTCGTACGTTATTTGCTTCAACGGCTCGTCGACTCAGCGTGGTCATTCTTGGTGCTATGCGCAGCCCATCCAGAGGTTGAAGGAGTGGGCGAAAGAGGGAGAGGACGGGGGAGTGAGGGGGAGATGGGGGGGGTCCCCCCTCTCTGCTTGATTTGTGTTTAACACTTTCTCGGACCATGGTCGTTGTTGGGTGCAGAGGCGGCTCATTTTTTTTGTTTGGGGGGGGGGGGCAGAGAGCTTCAGCGTCTCCTGAGGGGTGGAATCAGCGCCCAGATTTGTCTTGCGGATTCAGGCCGCCTCCACCTTGGTGCCTCTAGTTCAGCGTCAGTGGTTGGCTTGCCTGTGGTACCCTTCCCGCCTGCCAGCATAGACATTAGCCCGAATTGCCTCAACTCAAGTTCTTCCATGTCTAGCAGAACATTCGGGCCCAGATTGATTCTCCTGTGCGCATCCTTTTCGCAGGGCCTTTTCTTGCCACCTTGGTGGCGAAGGATTTCTACAGGTGAGGGCAATCAGGAATGAGGGGAGCAGTGGTGGGTTGGCAGATGGCATGGGAGGCATGCGGAATTCACTTGTGGACTGCAGGTTGAGTATTGCAATCAAGGGCGAGACGATCATAGACGGCAAGCTGCGAGGGACGGTCGATGTGGACGATTGTACGTGGTGTATTTTGAATGGTGGTACGGATGTCGAGGTGATGCTGACGAAGCAGACTGAAGATAGGTCCGTGGGATCCAGAGCATGTGCGTCCGTCTTCGTCATATGGGTCAGAGCTGGGGGAGATCATCACAGAAGAGGAGGAGCAGGAGGAGGAGGAGGACGAGGAGGAGGAGGAGGAACACGAATAATAGGAGGAGGGTGTAGAGGAGTAAGCGGATAGACAAGGAAGAGAAGGGTAGGTGGACGAGAGTGGCGGCAAGAGTAGTGAGGAAGGTTAGAAGAGGGTGGAGGTGTGAGGAGGGAGGAGGGACGATGATGATGATGCTGAGGATGATGATGGTGATGATGACGATGACGATGACGATGACGATGTCAATGACGATTACGACGACGAGGATGATGCTGATGATGATGAGGCTGTTGATGATGATGATGATGATGGTGGTGGTGGTGGTGATGATAATGATGATGCTGAACATGCTGATGATGCTGATGATGATGATGCTGCTGATGATGATGATGATGAGGATGCTGCTGCTGACGATGACGACGATGATGACGATGATGGGGATGATGACGCTGATGATGAGGATGATGATGCTGCTGTCGCTGCTGAATATTATGATGATGCTGATGATGATGGTGATGGTGGTGGAGGTGGTGATGAAGATGGGAGGAGGAGGAAAGAGGAGGAGGATAAGAAGGAGGAGGAGGACACATATGAGGAGGGCGAGGAGGTGAATGATGTACTGTTCGCATAAGGGGGGAGGGGTTGTCAGGAAGGGAATGAGGCGAGAGAGGGCTCGACAGGTGGCGTACCCTTCTCGATCCGTCGTGAGAGCTGCTGGCGCCGAGTCTCGCACTGCCGCGCCGGGGCTCGCCTGGACGTGCTTCTTGGTGCCCGAGCCGCACCGACCGCCTGGACCTGGAGGAAGGCGTTCGCCGCGCGACGCGAGCCCGCCGCAAACTGCAACGACCAGAAGAGTGGCGTCTTCGACTGGAATCTGCGGCCGACGCTGCCGCTGAGCCCGGGCGCCGCGCGCCGCTCTGGGCAGCGAGGCCGACCAGACTCGAGGCTGTGACGACGAGGAAAGGGGCGCCGCCGTGCTCGGGCGCGTGCTGCCACCGTGTCGGCCCCGAGATCCGACGCCGTGGAGCAGTCACCAGGTCCCGAGAAATCGCAGCGGGAGTCCCCGACCCCATCTCCGTGCAGGCCTCGAGACGGATCGATCCGTGACGGTCGCGGGCCCCGAAACTGGGCGGAGACGCTCGCCCCCTCGCCGCTCCCATACCTCCGACGTAGTGAGTCTTCACAGCGTGGACCCACGGAGGTCTGTGGACCATTTCCCCGGGACTGGCTTTTCATCCTGAGTCCTTTTTGGACGGTCTGCGGGCCCAGTGAGTGCCCCTGGAGGCCCGAAGACCTCTCCGTCGCGTTTTTTCTTGCGACGTGAGGAGGGTGGGGGCGTGTCCGCCTGCGCATCATCATCACTCTGGCCAGGGATGGTGGTTAGAAAGGGTGTGGATGTGACGGGGGAGGATCGATCATCGAAATGGGAAGGGATCAACTCAACGTCATGGCGAAGCTCGGGTATGAGAGCTGTCCAGGAGGGTGCCGTGGAGTGGCCTGAGAGTTGCTTTTGATCGGATCTCCTGCATGGGGAGGAACGCCAGGAGCCTTTTTCCAGGACGCGAGCCGCGCTTCATTCAGTCGGCCTGCTGGGGTGCCTCAGCGCCTCTTGGAGCATTTGGGGGGCGTCCTGCGCATCCTGGGGCCTCCCGAGGCCTCCTTGGAGTTTTCCTGGGGCCTCCAGGGATCTCCTGTGGCGACCTGGGACTGGGAGAAGCAGGAGGAGGAGGAGGTGGAGGAGGTGGAGGAGGAGGAGGATGAGGAGGAGGTGGAGGAGGAGGAGGAGGAGGAGGAGGAGGAGGAGGAGGATAGATGTGGTGGGTGGCAATTGGTGCCTGGAATGGTAGGTGGTGGCACGAATGCCTTGAGATGGAGGTATGGGTCACCCCCCCCTACGGCCGTCTTCGTTGGCCGAGGGACCGTAGGTGGGTCCTCGGCCCCCTCCGGTGCCTATTGACGGCAAAATTGAAGGTTGACTGGTGGGAGCGGGAACCCTCGCAACCCCATTGATGGAAGCTGCGAGGGGTGTGAGGCCTAATGACGGTCCTCACCGACGAGGCCTATTGACGGTCCTCGCCGAAGGGAGGGGCGAGAGGGAGGGGGGCCACTCCGAGTGTCGATGCCGTCCGCGATGCCCGCGATGCCTCTCACTCCTGAGGCGGGATTCCTGCAAATGGGGGCCCACAAACCAGCATACACAGTTTCGACTCCGAGACTGTGTATACGCCACACACCCCGGAACCTCCAGGACAATTTTTTTTCACTACATCGACGGACCAGTTTCCGGTCGGTCCCCCGGCGTTGCGTTTCAGCATCCGTCGGTGGCAAACCCAGATCCAACCGCCAACTCGATCGATCGGCGTACCCCCTTGAATTCCCGAGGCAACGGCGTACCCCCTTGAATTCCCGATGCAACGGCGTACCCCCTTGAATTCCCGATGCAACGGGAAAGGCCTGAGCGGGCAGCGGCAGACAACAACCTAGGGGGGGAGGGAGGCGCAGGGAGGAGGAGGGGGAGGAGAGCGGCGGTACGGGCGCCCAGGCATCTGTTTTGACGGGGGGCACCCCGCTAATAGGTCACACCGCAAAAACAAGCCTGCGCTCCGCACCCGGAACGACAGGGGCAGGGGGGGGAAGGAGGACGGAGGAGGGGGAAAGGGGAGATCAGGCAGAACGAGCCTCCCATTGCTCGCATGCCTTCGTGACCCATGGCCTGGGGGCGCTCACCTGGCTCTGCGTGGCCCACCGCTTTACGACAGCCGCTGGGAACTCCGCCGCCGTGATGAGGAGCGTGAGTAGCTCGGCGAGCGCGGCCGCCTTCGCGTCCGGGGGGTACGTGAAGGCGTCGGTCCGCGCGATGAGGCCGAGGACGATGGCTCTCTCGGTGGCGTTCGGAGCGAAACTGCGGAAGTGCATGTACGGTGGGTATTGGAAGTCGTCCGAGTAGGACCCGAGATCGAGGGACGCCGGCCGTACCGAGACTCTCCCACATGAATCGAGGGACAGCCGCATGCCCGTGATGACATCGCCGCCGTCTGTCTCACTCGGGAGCGGGTAGCATAAAGACGGCCAGGAAGCAATGTGATCCGCTACGCGACGGAGAGACGCAGGTGGCGTGTCTACCGAGGCCTTCCATAGGCATATGTAGTCGTCCATGTACCGGGACTCGAGGATGAGGATGCGGACGCCCTCGACGACGTAATACCGGACTCTGGAGCGAGCAGGCGGCGGGAGGCCGCGCCCACTGTAGAGGGAGGCGTGGAACACGACGTCGCAGTAGATAAGCACCATACGGGTGAGGGCTCCGGCCAAAGAGCTGCCCACTGCGAGTCCGTCGGTGGCACGACCGACGAGCGTGCCCACCGCGAGCCAGAGGTTCGCGAGGCTGTGCTCGATGGCAGCGGTGAGGTCCGCTGGCCGGAAGACCACGTGGAGGGGCGAGGCCCTGGGCGGCTCGAACGGCAGGGTTCGTGCGAATCCGCGCCGCCGCGGGGCGGCGATGGCCGAGATGTCCCGTGCAGCCAGGACCTCCTGGTAGAAGACCCAAGCCCGGCGTACAAGGCAGTGTGGGATGTTCGTGAAGCAGTCGGTGAGGTCGCTCCCGTACTTCTGCACGGGCCCGTGGGGGGCCAGTTCGCTGAAGCGCTCGAGCAACGGCAGCAGCGAGTCGGTGCGCTGCGCGTCGATGTGGAGGTGCTCAGGGATGCCTGTGCCGCTGATCCAATCGATTGCTCGTGCTGCTGGCGACTCGAGGCCCTGTGTCGGCCAGTGCGAACGGTCCACGAGCGGTCGTCGGCTGTCTGGTTTTTCTCGTTTTTTTTTTGTTTGGGGCCGACGCCGACGCCATGCGCCAATGGCGATGGTTAGACAGGCGAGCGGGTTGGAGATCGGCCCCGAGGCCAGGGACGGAGGCCACCTGCTGGAGTACGGCTTCGGCTGTCAAGCCCGGGTGGCACACGAAGTGCGGGTTTTGCCCCGTGATGCCGAACAGGGCCGTGCAGAGCAATTGCACTCGGCGGGGACACTCGGCTACGAGCACGTGCTTGGTCTTCTGAAATTCTTCGACGACGAGGCCGCGTGTGAGTGACCGGCCAGCGCGAATGACCGACTCCGGTACGGGGTCGAAGTCCAACGGGAGGTGCGGCGCGTCGAAGTCGAAGGCAATGCTGGATACCACGTCGTGGACGCAGCAGTCGATGAAGGCCGCCGAACAATCGAGCCGTAGCGCAGCCGCGAGGCGCCGGAGCAGGCGGCGGCATGCGGCAGTGTACCGCGCCTGGGATGGCACGAGTACTGTGTGCGCTGGCAGGGTGCGCAGGTGCGAGAGGTGAGCGGGCCAGGGCCATGTGTCCTGTGGGGCGAATATGTGGCACTCGCCGTCAGGGGACGGGTAGCGGGGGAGGTCCAGATGCATGTGGCATGCACGCGGCCATGGCCCACTATCGCCAAGACGGCGGTAGAAGCTGGGGGCGCTGCGCAAGCCGGCCCGGAGCGTAATGGCGGCCACTGGCGAAAGCATGACCTTGAGGTCGCGAATGGCCGGCAACAGCAAGGTCTGGCCACGTTCCTGGGCATGTTGGATGAGGCGGTGGATGATGCCCTGGAACGCGCGTTTGGCGCCAGAGTGCGGCAGCCATGGGAGAGCGCCCTGCGCGTGGAGGCGCGGCCGGGGCCAGCGACGGAAGCGGCGAACGGGCTCGAGGGCCTTGAGCCCGATGGCGCGGGTGGTGCCCTCATGCCGCTAGTGGACGCGGTGCCAGACTGCGCGCCGCTCCTCTGCCGTGAGCCGGTGCAAATCAGCGTGGCCAGGGCGGACGTCGTCATCCGCCAAGGTGTTGCATGCGATTTGGGCCCAGCGAGTGATTGGCGTGGATGGTGGGCCGGACAAGGCGAGGAGGCATGCCGACGCGGATGGTTCGCGCGAGGTCATGGCCTGTCCGTGCCGACGGGACTGGGAGATCCTCGCCGGTGGTGTCGGAGACGCAGCCGTGAGGCACAACCTTCCGCGGGCCGGGTGTGGCCCATTGCCTGGCAGGGCAAAATGGTGGACGTAGGTCACGTTGAGCCGCGGGTGCTCGGAGGCGATGACGTGCTGCTCGAGGGTGAAGGCTTCCGCATCGCTGGACAAGCAGGCGATGGGGAGGTAGAACCATGCCGAGGCAGTACGGGCGGCATCTCCCCTGGCTTGCCGGCGAAGCACCTCCATGTATGGCTGTTGGGAGTCGCAGGAGGTGTTAAGGAAAGCGTAGATGTGCTTGCGGAGGCGTTCGCGGGCGCCACGGGCTCCACATAATGTAGACGACGAACGATGCATCGAGCAAGGACTCGGAGGGCGGCCACGTGGACCGTGGGAGGGTGGTTGCAAGGATGCGGAGCCGGGCGTGGCGCTTGAACGTGGAGGCCATGAGGACATGGGCAGCAAGACCAAAACCGGCACTTTGCAGCGCAAAGATGCTGCCCCACTTGAGGGGTCCCGTGTCAGAGTAGAGCACGTACAGGTAGTCTTGAATGAGGCCGATGGGGGTGGAGACAACCAGGCGAATGTGCGGGGTCCGGGAGACGCATGGCATCCCGTCGCAATGCACATCCCAGATGCCGCCGGATGGACGGCCGCTGAGAGCGGCCGTAGTCAGTCACTGGCCGAGCTCGTCGCTGCGGGCCCTGACGGCCGCGACAAGCTTGACGACGTCCGTGAGGCGGGTGGCGTCGAACTTGACCCCCATAGTCTCGACCGCCTTCTTGAAGGCTGCGCTGGCTTGTTGATTGGCTCTGCCCGGGGTCTTGGTGCGGCCGCCCGTGGATTTGGGGGCGAGCGCCTTGAGGGCGGTGTGGTAAGCCTTGAACTTGTTGCGGAGCCCCTGTGTGTCGTCGGACGTGACGTCAGTGTCCTCCAGGGCCCAGTCGAGGGACTTGGGTTGGCGGGCGTCGTGGAGCTTCGTGAAGGAGTAGTTCTGCAGGTCCTCCAGGGTGATGCTGACAGCGCCTGCTGCCGCGGCGTCTTGGGCAGCCGCGGTGGCGGGGCCCGGGGCCGCGGGGCCGGGGGGCCGCGCGAGGGCACGGATGGGCGCGGCAGGCAGGAGGGCGGCCTCATGCGAGCCCGCTTGAGCCTCGATGATGGCCTGGCCGTCGTCGACCATGCTGGCTGCGACCTTGGAGATCATGTCTGGGAGGGCGTCCTTCTTCATCGTGTATGGGGAGTTCCGGGTGAGCCATGTGAGAAAAACATTGAAGTTGTATGTGTCGGCATCCATGGGGACCAGTGGCACGATCTTCTGGAAGTTCCGGCGGGCCTGGGACCTCATGACGTACGGGATGTACTCGCCTGGATTCTCAGTGAGGGCACTGCGCGTCTTGGCCGTGCAGAGAGCCTTGCAGCGACGCATCATCTCGGCATTGCATGCAATGCGGGCGTCCTTGAAGCGCGGGCCCCCCCAGGCGAGGTCTGGCTCAAAGCCAGGGGGAACGCCGTAGGCGACGTTGCGGATGGTGAGGGACACCCCATCCTCGTCAAACACCGGCTTGCGAAGGTCCTCGTGACCCAGCCCACGAATCGCGCGGCGAACCCCCTCCAAGGTGGAGTGGCCGTGGGTGGCGGGACCTGGCAGAGAGCGCTGCACGGCGTGGGGGCCCCCATACCCAGCTTGCTGCATGAGGCCGAGGAGCTGGCGCGCGACTGGAACGAGGACTGCCTCGAGCCCAGGCGCGGGCATGGACTGAGGAGGCTGGCCAGCCAGAGGCGACGGTCCGCCGGGGGGCACCGGCGGGAAAGGGGCAGCCAGGGGCAGCAGTGGCGAGGCGGCTGGGTCGGGAGCGTGCCCGCGGGCGGTGTCGACGGTGCACCGCGACGGCGCCTGCGGGACACTGCGGCGACGGGGCCTGGAGCGGCCGTAGCGTCTTGGCGGGCTCCGGGAACGACCGCGGCGGCTGGTCGAGCGCCCAGCGCGCGCCTGGTACTGGCGCGGGGGGCGCCGTGAGGATTTCGGAAGGCCGAGCGCGTCGGTGAGGGACTCCGCCATGTCGAGCGCGGCGCAGTCCTCCCCGATGTGGTCGTGGTTGCCGCAGAAGGAGCAGAAGAGGCCCAGCGAGCGGCTGCGGGCGGCCATCGCGTGGCCACGGTCACGGAGGGTCCTGAAGCGGGATCCTGAGAAGGGCCACCTGAACCTGAACGCACTGCGGGGTGGGGGCAGGGTGGGGGCCCAGGACAGCGGGGGGGGGAGGGGAAAAGGGCAGGCACGGGGCCAGAGCGGGGACGGGGAAGAGAGGGGTGGGGGGGACAGAGACTGAAGTCAAACGTAGATTTGTGGCCCCAAGGGATCCTGGAGGTAGGTCTTCTCGATTGGTTGGCGGGGAGTGGGCACGACCGCATGAGTGCCACTACAGCACGGGTCGAGCCATCACCCTAGGTGGGCGGGGAGAGGGACACGACCGCACGAGTGCCACTACAGCACGGGTCGAACCGTCACCCTTGGTGCACTGCTGGGGTGGCCCAAGTGCCAAAATGTAAAGGCTGACTGACATTGACAGGCACAATCAGCCGGCAGGGGAATAAATCCCGTTCACGGCCCAAAGGAGGATAGATGTGGTGGGTGGCAATTGGTGCCTGGAATGGTAGGTGGTGGCACGAATGCCTTGAGATGGAGGTACGGGTCACCCCCCCCTACGGCCGTCTTCGTTGGCCGAGGGACCGTAGGGGGGTCCTCGGCCCCCTCCGGTGCCTATTGACGGCAAAATGAAAGGTTGACTGGTGGGAGCGGGAACCCTCGCAACCCCATGGATGGAAGCTGCGAGGGGTGTGGGGCCTAATGACGGTCCTCACCGACGAGGCCTATTGAAAGGTCCTCGCAGAAGGGAGGGGCGAGAGGGAGGGGGGCCACTCCGAGTGTCGATGCCGTCCGCGATGCCCGCGATGCCTCTCACTCCTGAGGCGGGATTCCTGCACATGGGGGCCCACAAACCAGCATACACAGTTTCGACTCCGAGACTGTGTATACGCCACACACCCCGGAACCTCCAGGACACAATTTTTTCACTACATCGACGGACCAGTTTCCGGTCGGTCCCCTGGCGTTGCGTTTCAGCATCCGTCGGTGGCAAAGCCAGATCCAACCGCCACTCGATCGATCGGCGTACCCCCTTGAATTCCCGAGGCAACGGCGTACCCCCTTGAATTCCCGATGCAACGGCGTACCCACTTGAATTCCCGATGCAACGGGAAAGGCCTGAGCGGGCAGCGGCAGACAACAACCTAGGGGGGGAGGGAGGCGCAGGGAGGAGGAGGGGGAGGAGAGCGGCGGTACGGGCGCCCAGGCATCTGTTTTGACGGGGGGCACCCCGCTAATAGGTTACACCGCAAAAACAAGCCTGCGCTCCGCAACCGGAACGACAGGGGCAGGGGGGGAAGGAGGAGGGAGGAGGGGGAAAGGGGAGATCAGGCAGAACGAGCCTCCCATTGCTCGCATGCCTTCGTGACCCATGGCCTGGGGGCGCTCACCTGGCTCTGCGTGGCCCACCGCTTTACTACAGCCGCTGGGAACTCCGCCGCCGTGATGAGGACCGTGAGTAGCTCGGCGAGCGCGGCCGCCTTCGCGTCCAGGGGGTACGTGAAGGCGTCGGTCCGCGCGATGAGGCCGAGGACGATGGCTCTCTTGGTGGCGTTCGGAGCGAAACCGCGGAAGTGCATGTACGGAAGAGGAAGAGGAGGAGGAGGAGGAGGAGGAGGAGGAGGAGGAGGAGGAGGAGGAGGAGGAGGAGGAGGAGGAGGAGGAGGAGGAGGAGGAGGAGGAGGAGGAGGAGGAGAAGGCGGAGGAGGAGGAGGAGGAGGAGGTGGAGGAGGAGGAGGAGGACGACCAGTGTAAACCCAAGAGTCATCAACGATGTTGGAATAAACCCTTCCTCCAAGCTCCCCCTTTCATAGGCCCCATACAGCGGTTCACTTCCACTGAGGGAACTCCTTCGTTGAACGACAACCTTCGAAGACCCGGAAGCATGCCAGAACAGTTTTCTCGGGATTTCGACGCTACATATCAACCTGCCTGCTGCGTCTTGACGATCCTCAGTCGTGCCATAGAGCCATTCTTGTGATTTCCAACACCGCGAATCGTCGTACCTGTTGCACCCTCATAACCTTACATCCTACCAAAACACCGTTTCTGGTACGTTGACCATGGGAACCCGTGAAACTCTTGCAAAGTTTAACACGAATGTGCGCGGCCCGAAGGTGAGATCCATATTTTCAAAAGAAACCGCCCTCAGTCCGTGAAGCGCTTGCGACTGTTTAAAACAAATGTGCGCGGCGCTAAGGCGAGAGCCACATTTTGAAAAGGAACCGCCCTCAATCCTTGCAACTGTTTACAGCGAGTGTGCGAGGCGCTAAGGCGAGAACCACATTTTGAAAGCGGCCCGCCCTCAAACCGTGAAGCTCTTGCACATGTTTGAAACGAATGTGCGCAGCGCTAAGGCGAGAGTCACATTGTCAAAACGACCCGCCCTCCATCCGCGAATCTGTTGCTATTTCCCCAATCAGAGCTTGCCTCTGTAGGGGTCCTAGCGGATTCATATGGTTAGGTGAGGTGCGTCGCCGATTTCGGTGGCCGGCCCGGGTGCCGGGGTGCCCGGGTGCCCGGGTGCCGGGTGCCCGGCGGTGCCCGAGTGCCCAGGTGCCCGGGTGCCCGGGGGTGCCCGGAGGTGACCAGGGGTGCCCGGAGGTGCCTAGGGGTGCCAGGCTGCCCCGGTGCTCCATCGCCCTATAGCCCTATAGCCCTACAGTCCTATAGCCCAATAGCCCTGTAGCCCTATAACCCTATAGCTCTATAGCCCTATAGCCCTGTAGCCCTATAGCCCTGTAGCCCTACAGCCCTAAAGCCCTATAGCCCTATAGCCCTATAGCCCAATAGCCCTATAGCCCTACGGCCCTACGGCCCTATAGCCCTATAGCCCTATAGCTCTATAGCCCTATAGCCCAATAGCCCAATAGCCCTATAGCCCTATAACCGTATAGCCCTATAGCCCTATAGCCCTATAGCCCTACAGCCTTATAGCCCTTTAGCCCTTTAGCCTTATGGCCCTATAACCCTGTAGCCTGAAGCTCTATAGCCCTGTAGCCCTATAGCCCCATAGCCCTCTAGCCCTATAGCCCTATAGCCTCATAGCCCCTATAGCCCCATAGCCCCATAGCCCTATAGCCCTACAGCCCTATAGCCCTATACCCCTATAGCCCTAGACCTCGTGGCCTTCATAGCCCTCGCAGACTTCATAAACCTAAGCAGCAATTACATCTCATGTGAGATGAAAAAGGCTCTGATTGGGTTTTTCTCCGGTATCATTTTGCAGCTCCGGGGTCATAATTGATGAGGAAACCTCACGCGAAACGTCGGGCCCGCCCTACAAACAGGCTTCGGGGTGCGGCAGGGAGAAGTTGCCTATAAGGGAAAGGCAACAAGTTGGAGGAGGAGGAGGCGGAGGAGGAGTCAGAGGAGGAGGAGGAGAAGGAGGAGGAGGAGAAGGAGGAGGAGAAGGAGGAGGAGGAGGAATCAGACAAATAATACGAGGAGGAGGAAGATAAGGAGGAGGAGGAGGAGGAGGAGGAGGAGGAGGAGGGAGAAAAGGAAGAGGAGGAGGAGGAGGAGGAGGAGGAGGAGGAGGAGGAGGAGGAAGAGGATGAGGAGGCGAAGGAGGCGGAGAAGGCGGAGGAGGCGGAGGAGGAAGAGGAGGAGGAGGCGGAGGCGGAGGCGGAGGCGGAGGCGGAGGAGGAGGAGGCGGAGGAGGAGGAGGAGGAGGAGGAGTCAGACACATAATACGAGGAGGAGGAAGATGAGGAGGAGAATGATGATGATGATGATGAGGAGGAGGAGGAGGAGGGAGAGAAGGAGGAGGGGGAGGAGGAGGAGGAGGAGGAGGAGGAGGAGGAGGAGGAGGAGGAGGAGGAGGAGGAGGAGTCGCGAGCCCATAGGACGACGCGCCGAGGTCGATGTGGGACGGGCAGCTGCGGTGGGAAAAGACGAGCGAGCGCAATCGAGCACAGAAAACCAGAGGGCCCCAGGGAAGCGTTAGCCCAGCCGAAGTTTCACGGCAGTGACACGAGGTCCCACGAAGAGAGCCCAGAATCGGCCACGCCTGGCCGCCGGGCGCCCGCGCCCCGCGCGCACCGCGGCCGCCGCCTCGGCGCTCGGCGGCCCGGCAGCGGGCGTCGGGCGGCGGCTGCCTCGCGGAGAGTTCGGGCCTCCGCGAGGCTCGAGGATTCTCGAGGAGCCTCGAGGATCCTCGAATAGAAGAAGAGAACATGGCATTCACATTTTCGAGGATCCTCGAATACAGGAAAAGGGAAAACGGCATGCACATTTTCGAGGATCCTCGAGGATCCTCGAATTAGAAAAGGAGAGAAAACGACATATGCATCCTCCAGGATCCTCGAACAGGAGAAGAGAAAACGGCATACACACCGTCAAAGATCCTCGAGGAGCCTCGAATAGGAAAAGAGAGAACGGCATACACATCTTCGAGGATCCTCGACGATCCTCGAATAGAACAAGAGAGCACGGCATACGGCATACACATCCTCGAGGGTCCTCGAGGACCCTCGAACAAGAAAAGAAACGAAAAAGGTCCGCACTCGATCCTCGAGGATCCTCGAATAGAAAAGGAGAAATAGGATCCTCGAGGATCGATCGAATAAGAAGAAGAAACACCACACACACATAAACCTTTGGAGCTCCGCGCGGATTTCCTGGATCCGCGCCGGGCCCCCCGGCAGCGCCTCCTGCGCCGCCCTTGGCAAGCTCCGCGCGCCAGGGAGGGGGGTCCAGCACCGATCCAATAAGTCCCCGCGGAGCGTAAACAGTTTATGTTTATGTCGTTTTTCTTTTTCTACTCGAGTATCCTCGAGGATCGAGTGTGAGCCTCTGGGAGTTTCGAGGATCGAAGGCTCAGGTTTGGGCCTCCTCGAGTGCGGGCCTCCGGGAGGTGCGGAGATCGAGGGCTCGAGGGTTTTTCGCCTGCAGATGGGGGGTCGGCCTTCTGGGGGTCAGGTAGAGGTAAGCCCGATTCCTTAGATTTCTTTTGCTCGGGCCCGCACTTTTGTCAAACGCTAGGAGGCCCACATCGGCGC